ACACACCTGAATTCTTTATTTCATCCCCCTGCCCTTCTCTCCTTTCCCTCTCTATCCATCTCTTGGTCCCTTCCCTTTTTTGGTACATGTTTGCAGTCTCTCTCTCTCTCTCTCTCTCTCTCTCTCTCTCTCTCTCTCTCTCTCACACACACACACACACACACACACACACACAAGTATAAGCACAAGCATGAGGACAAGCACAAGCACATAGTAGGAAACACCAGGAAAGAACAACTCTTCTTGTTTGGAACAACAGGAACGATCTGCTCACACATACTCTGCCCGACCACTTCTCCCACTTAACTTTTACCAACACCTGTTACAGTGCCTTTGATAACTGACTAATCTTTATTGTGGCCTTGTTTAGACTATGAAGTTGAAGTGATCATTAAAAATATGTACTACAAAGTTACTCGCTCATGGTATAGTTCCATTTTATTCTTCCTTCCCATAATTCCCTACTTAATTTTTAAAAACTTCTTTGGAGTATTATGTGTTCCCAAATGATATACTTTTATTTCTTTCTTTCTTTCTTTCTTTCTTTTTTTTTTTTTTTTTTTTTTTTTTTTTTTTTTTTTTGGTACCAGGGGTTGAATTCACTACCTTGTTAGGCAGGTGCTTATACTGCTGAGCTAAATCCCTGGCCCAATATACTTTTATTTCTGGACAAGGGGCTGTCATACAACTGCCTTCATAATTGGAGAATTAGAGGAACTTGCCTTTGGGGATGATTCACAACCCCATTGATAATATTGAAGGTCATTATAAGAAAGCCTTTCTTCACTTCAGAGAAAAAAGGGTTTATTCTATTACACAATCATTCTAATGGAAGCCCTCAGATTATGAGCGTGACAGCTGAGTTTTAAGTCAGAGTAACAGATTTGTATGTGAGTAGTGAGGGTGTGATTTACCAGGCAGATTTGGCCCAGGTCCTTGGCTTGATACAGTACATAGAAATCCTAGGATCCTGTCAGTTGGCGCTGCTTAACTTGTGTACAGTATGCTCAGAAACCTTCCCAGCACCATCAGTGGAGCTGTTCTGTTGCTCAGTCCATGAGGGCCCAGCAAGGACCTGTGGATTTCTTTACCTAAGCAGTCTGGATAACTGTATTGCATTACCTCCTTGTCACACAGTGTGGTATCTGTGCTCTTTTGATGATCTCATGTTGTACTTGGATAAATACATCTGGACAGAGTGTTTTGGGAAGTTCTAAACCTTACAACATTCTAAGTTCCTGAAAGGAAAATCTTAAAAGGTCCTCATGGCTGATGAAACTTCCAATTATCAGATACTTTCAGTTCATACCTCTCTGGAAATGGTTCCCTATTGACTTCTGCTCGGCAGTTCTTAGTGACCTTTCTCATATTCAGGCTAAATATTTGATTCCCACTTGAAGTCTTTGTAGCGTTTTTTTAGCAAATGTTTACCAGAGACCCCACCAGCACTTCAACCCTCTGGAATCACTAGTCCTAGGCAATGGGACCAATTTAGCTCACGAGATTTAAATTTAAATTTAATAGGGGTTGGGGATTTAGCTCAATGGCATAAGCCCCTGCCTTGCAAGCAGGGAGTCTTGAGTTTGATCCCTGGTACCAATAAAAAGGAAAAAGACAAAAAAACAAACAAAAAAATTTAATCAATATCTGGAGCCCCTCATTAGGAAATGGCTCCAGTTCCTCAATTTCCTAACCAAAATAAACTAGGTAAGAGACAGGATGGATCCAGACCAGATAACCAAGCACAGTGGCACCATGGTGGCCCTGTTGTGGCTCATAGAGACATTACTCAGTCACTGATGCTGTCTGACAACAGATTTTGATTAAAAGAAGGAAATGTTAACTTTAAGACAAGCTGACTCTCTAAGAAGAACCCCAGCTGGCTACTGAGTTAGTTTCACAATGAATTTAACTGTCCTTTACTGACTGGACTTCATACATGGTAGCCTGTGTTCCCACAGGAATCACAAACTAAACTTTGTGGCAGTTGCGTGTTCTTTCAGTTGGTGAGGTCAGCATCCTCCACAGTGTCTCATTTGCTATCTGCCCTTGACCAGTGAACTGTGACTTACAAATGTACTCAAGTATCAACCAGCCAGAAACAGGCACACGTGCATTCCTCCTTTACATTGAACAGACCAGAATGAAGACCTGGGCACAAAATTCCCATCTGAGCTGTTTCTTTTCTATTCCTTTTGAGTCCCTTTTGTTTGACAGTAAAGCCTGCGACTCCTGAGTTTGCAAATTGTTTTGTTTCATTAAAATAAAGCCCTTTCTTTCTTGAACTCTTTCTTAGTGCGTTTTTAGTTGCACAGGAAGTGCTAAAGAGCTTAGTGAATAGTGTTTATCTGCTATGATTTTTGGAAGGCAGATTTTAAAACTAAGCTATGTGGCAGAAATCCTGTCTATGCAGTAAAGTGTTCCCAAGTTCTTGGAAGAATTTCTCTGGCTGTTTGTTTATAGTAAAATGATAGAAAGAATTAACAGCCAGAATTTATGATCAAAAAGAGGTAAAATGGCAACATTTGGGAAATTCTCACTTATTGCTGTGTGAAAGATAATTTTCAGAAGAGAAGGAAATGGTATGCCTAGCCATTGTTTGCTAAATAAGTCAATAGAGACAGGAAAGCCAGGCTGTGTTATTAAAACAAAAGCAGAACAGTCCTGATGCTTTGGAAGCTAAGGTTCCTAGAGAGTTGCACATATATGATCTCAGCATCTACTGCCTTGGGATTCTGCTTTGGGAGTTTCAGTGTCCTTATCCTGCATGCCTCAAGTGGGTTAATTTGTGATTCAAGCCAACAATCTAGAGGTGTAAGCTGTGAACCTTGGTGTCTCTGATATGTACTAATTCTCCAGGTTCACAGAATACAAGAGCTATAGGATCACAGTGGTCTACACCCTGGGAACCCCAAAGGAGACTTGGTACAGGGTCAGAGCCGCTCCTCATTGTCAACCAAGACAATGTCAAGAGGAAACATAGGACAGAGGCCACAACAGAGCCCCCATTAAGGCAGCGTCTACTGGCCAATGGCATGGTCCACAGAAGTATAGGGGCCCAGATATGCAGTTGTAACTGTGGAAAGTTTAGATACTAATTTTCAGCTTGGAAGCTGCTGAGTGAACTGAGTTCAGCAGAGCACAGGGAAAGAGCTGCCTTAAGATCTATAGAATGAGAGGCGTGGAGTCAAGGAAGACTGTTTCCCAGTGTTAAGAATTTCCCAGTTGGGTTTTGGAATTAGTCGGGACCAGTCAATCCTTTTATCTTGCTTCTCCCATGGATAATGGCAATATTTCTTATACTTGTCCCATCACTGTATTTTGAAAGTTGAAAACTTTGTGTAATTTCGAGTCTCATAGCTGGATGGAAATTTACCACAGCATGAATCTCAGTTATATGTGAGCTGGGATAAGGCTCTGGTCTTTGGAGTTCTAATACTTTTAAAACTTAAGCTCTAGGGTTTTGCAATATAGAATGAGTTGTTTTGCATGGGAGAAAAGTACATATTTGGGGGGCAAGGGTCAGAATGTTAGGGGTAAATGTGTCCCCCAAAGTGCATGTCTTGTAAACTCCAACGCAGCAGTGGTGAGAGGTGGAGAATTTAAGAGATGATGTAGTTATGAGCATTCCACCTCATAAATGGGTCAATGGCTTCGTAACAGGAGTAGGTTTGTTTGTGTATGTGGGGCTGTTATAAAATCCAATTTCTCTCCTCTCTCTCTCTCCCTCTCTGTCTCTGTCTCTCTCTCTCTCTGTCTCTCTCTCCTCTCTCTCTCTCTCTCTGTCTCTCTGTCTCTCTCTCTCTCTCTCTCTCTCTCTCTCTCTCTCTCTCTCTCTCTCTCCTCTCTGTCTCTCTCTCCCCCTTGCCATTCTGTTTCTCTCCATGAGATGATCAACAAGTAGGCATATGCCAATTTCGAACTCCTAAGCATTGGATTGCAAAAAAGAAATTTAAAATCAAGATGTAGCTGGTGTAAAAATTAGAGACAAGCTGTAAGTATAGGAAATCTTACACAGATAACTAAGAAAAACAGAAGGAATGGTGAAGGAACCTAGGAAATGTGGGGGGAAAACTTCAATAGGCCAAATGTCCTTGTTTACTGGATTTTAGTTTCATAAGATGTTAACCTTTACACTCTTACTGTACCTCTGCTAGGGTACATACTTTGAGCCTTATGGAATGCCTGGATTTATCTACTTTTAATTTACAGAACAATTTCACATACTTTACCCCCATTTGTGAGTCTGTTCCAATAGGGTCAAGCCAGTGATGCGCAAGGCATAGGATACGCTCAGATGAGGGTCATTATGAAAACTAAAACGTGCTAGGTTTTCAGAAGACAGTTTAAGCACTTTAAGGAACCAAACAATAACCCACAGTTGCTCCTTATCTCTAGGTTATTTTGAGCACTTACTGTTTTGCATCACATGAAGGGTACTTTCCACAGGAGAAAGAGATTGTCCTAATCCCAACTTCATCAGAGCACCTCCAGCACAGAGGCACAGGCTTCATGAACGTTACATTCAGAGAAAAGAGAAGATAATGAAAGATACCTCTTGCTTTGACTTCACACCACACACAGGCTGCAACCTGGGAAGTTCTTCCAGGGGGAAGCTTGCAGCTCCCTGTGACTCCACATATAATTTCCAGAGAAAGCTTCCCTTTCCTGGTATAACTCAACAGGAAAGAGGGAAGCGCTGAAGAGGAAATTAGCACCATTACACTTCTGTCCTTTCAAACTCCAAAGGGAATGTGATGCAAGGCTAGAGAGGTTCTTTGGAGCAGAGTTAGGGCCATATGGGCTCCGTATAGAGATCTTAGGGAAAAGACAAGAATCAGGGCTCCTTTGTGGAAATAATTTGAGACTCAATGATAGTAAGTGGTCACAGCAAAAAACAGCAGGATTTTGTAAAGGACTTGGCACTGACAAAGTGAAATATGACCTCCTTCCTTCCCCCACCCACACGTAGTAGCTCAGCACCTGAGGTGTGCACTTACGTTGTATGTCCCTGACCAAAGCCACAGAAGGACTCAGCACCATCAGTGTCACTGTCAGAGCTGCCACACAGGAGCCTCTGGGGAGCCACAGACACAGCATGCTGGAAGACAGGAGAGAACTGGGTCAGAGAGGAGCAGACTAATCTCACTCAGTGAGCTCTATTACCCTTCTTAGGGCTCCCATTCCAAAAATACTGAGAAGCAAGATGCTTTTCATGTGTTGCTGGGTTGGGTAATTTCAGAGTCGAAGAACCAATCAGCATCAGAGTTGGATGACATCATTAGTTGATGGTCAGAGATTTTGTATGAAGATACTTTTCTGAAACTTTCAGTGTCTTTCATTGAGACATGGTTTTAATTTAGGGCTTCAAAGTTTTGATCCATTTTCACGTGAAACACATATTTGCCACTATGATGAGCCAGCTCTGTTGACCCGAAGTTGGTCTTTGACACAAAACCTTAGGATAATTAATATTTCATATGTGTTCAATCCCTCAGTCCTGGTTCCTATGGTGATTTCCTCATTTTATTTAGAATATGATTCATCTTCCTTTTTCTTCAACTTTATCTGAAGATGAGATACGAAAGTATTTTGCTAACAAAATTATTATAAAATTTTCAGGACATAGAATGCTATGATCAAATTTTAAAATGTAATTATTCTATTAGATCATTATTATATACACACATATGTATTTATGTATTACATTACTTAAAGTCTCAGACTCTGAATGCACTTTAAATGACAACTACACATATACAAGTTTACATTAATTCCCAGTCTCCCACAGTGCTCATAAGAGGTCATTCTCTATGTATTTTCACATTTCTTGTGGCAGGAGTCATTGTATTGTAATTAAATTACCAAAATCTGCTGAGTGTGTTCTGAGCACTTTGCATTTCACTTAGAATTACCTTTATGGCTTTTAAAAATGCATCATATACTTTTTAAAATTTTATGATCACCTCGGTACAGTAAGGAAAGTAAGTCTCTCATTACCACGTATGGAGGAAACAAATGAGGGTGACTGAACAACTCCTGCAAGAGTACAAAATTATGAAACTATATACTCTAGGTTGAACTGAGTTATAAAGTTTAACTGCCACAATTCCTGTTATTACATTACACTATTCACCATCGGTCTCTAAAGAGAATAATGTCCATTATATTAAAATTAGTTCTGCAACTTTGGATCTTGGCTATATTTATTGATAATAAAAACTACTAGTTTTTATAAATGATAGTGCTTCATATGATTTGGTTCAGTGACTGCATAGGAATTCCAGTTCTTTCAAAAGAATCAGTACATCACTATCATTACCTGTCTCTTGAAATGACAGTATTTGCATCTATGACGTGTAATGACACCCATGGTTCCATATCAGTTCCCTTGGTACAAAAGTTAACAATGTTCTCAAAATCCCTACATCCAGCAGTCTGACGTGTGGCTCAATAGATGAAGCCTAGGAACTAAATTCTGTATGTGGTATACATTTATGAGTTCTAGAAATGTTCTACTTTGTTCTACTTTGAATGAGCTATATCTTCAATACTATTTAATATAAGGTCAGTTTAGGTAAAATAATATGCAAAGCATCACCTATGTGAAATCTTTAGGTCAAACTTCATTCATCACTGCAAGCAAGGGAAGAAGTAGTCTTCTGCACCTCGGCTGTGGGTGACAGATGCCAATGATAGCTTATTTCTTGAGGACAAGGAATTTAAATTGGTTTCTGATAGAAAGTGGTTATCTGACCTTGACATATGAAGCCATGGGTCTGTTTTTAGTTAAATGTCACAACACCTGAGAATAAACAAGTAAAGCCTGAATGCAGATTTGTTGAGTAATACACAGATTGCAATTTGTTGCAGTACACAGGTCCTGAGTCCCATCAACCCCCACAGAATGGGACTCAATTGCAGTGAGCCTGAAGGGTTGCAATACATCATGGGAAAATGGACCTGTGTAGTCTTCAGCAAGTTACTTCTTGTAGCTAATTTCTCATTGTTGGGACAAAATACCTGAAACCCACAAGTTAAAGAAGGAAATGTTTATTTCAGGTCACAGTTTGTAGAGGTTTCAATTCATAGTCAGAGGTAGCATGGCAGAAGAGCACTACAGAGGAGAAACCATTAATAGCAGCAGATGCAGAAAGCAGCAAGCAACAAAGCTTCATACTCCATCAAGGTTGGAAGGGTATGGATTGTTGCCACCCACACCCAAAGTGAGGCTTCTGCTGTTATCCACACCCAGAATTATGCTAAACCAGTTTAGCTAACACACATCTTCAATCCGGTATCACACACCCTAATCCAGGATCACACACCCATGACCCAGCTGTCTCCTAAAAGCCTGACTGATGAATGCATGAGGCTTTAGGGAGCTATTTAAACAGAAATTATGACACTTCAGTGGAGAATGTCTGTCCCTTGCCCAGTGGTCAGGATATTCTCAGGAGTTTTCAGAAGGGAAGCACTAATCTGACACTTAAATCACAAACACGGATCCATACACCAAAGGAAAAAGTTACAATAGTAGTAGAAATATTTTTATAAATGTTGCTGAAAGAAAGCCAAATGTACTTTGAGCTTCCATTGATTATAGCTAAGAGGCACGGGTTTATGTGAAGCCCATAAATCCTTGGGTTAGGAGTAATCCTTGTTGTTTCTGTATTGATTGAGATAAACAGTCAGGAAATTCCAGATATATATAAGGTGCTGTGCCTCAGCCATCTGCCAAACGTGATTTAAGTCAAGGTTTCAACAGTAGGAGTCCATTTACTGGTTTCACCCAAACTATTAACATAACTTCCCCTTATCCCCCTCCTTTTAAAAATTATTTTGAAGGTGGTAAAATACAACAGAACAAGACAAAATAAAGCCAATCAAGACAATGCAGTGAAATCGGTACAGAACTTCACAGCAGGTTACCAGAATAACAGTGATAGGTACCACAATATATCTCGTTATCTTCACAGTAGTTGTCCGTTCAATCAGGTATAGCAAAATCACATCAAACACTGAACAACATAAAACCTATCAAAACAAAGTATTGAATAGAGCAAAAGAATTAATCAAAACAAAGCAAAACAGTGATAATATTTGCCTTCAAAGAGATGGTAGAAGGAAATCCTCCATATTTGCTATATTACATATGATCACCCTCCCAAGAGATGCTCAGACCTCTGGCCCCCATTTGCTAATGTGGGGGGGGGGATGTTTGATTCTCAGCCTGCACACCGGTAGGCTCATGGCTGCCTAGCAGGGAGGTGAGCAGGCTGCTTTGTTGCCCAGTGCCCTAAGTTCCAACATGGCGCAGATCTCGGGAGACACTGGCTGGCTGATTCTCTTCCTTCCCTTATCCCCTTTCTGAAAATATTATCTGATTAATTTCCCTGTCCTCTTCTTTCTTTCCTCTGTTCCAATAATTAATTTTGGAACATTTCAGAATTTTTATTTTTTATCAACTCATAGCCACAAAGTGGAGGTTCCATTTTAAAATATACTTTTATTAGTGCATTGTTATTTTATAAAATATTGGGTTTTAATGTGGCATTTTCTTATTTGCATGTAACATGTTTTGATCATGCATATTCCTCCTCTTACCTTACCCTTGATAGGTCTCTCTTTATTAAATATGTAGATCTTAAATTTACACCTGGATATAAATCCCAGTCCTCTCAGAAACTTTTTAGAATTTCATCTAATATGTTCACATAACATTTCATTGAAAATGTTCTTATAATTCTAAATTTCTAACATCTTGGTGGTCCTGTAATCAAAAAGACTCACTAGAAAGCAGTTTCTGTCATCACATCCATTAGGTGTTTCTCAAAGATTTTCAACAGACAGTAAGCTTTCCACAGGACTTGGTCAATGTTATGAAAAACATCTGGGTTAGGTAAACCATCATCTTATCTGTGTCTAAATATTCAAATGCAGGAAAAAATATATCAGCTTTATAATAGGGTAGTAATGATGTAAGTTTCTTACAAGTTTTCAAGAGTTTCTCCATGCCAGATCTTATGCATAAAATTTACTTTGAATCTGCATGTAAATAAATATGTGTTGCTTGTGAAAGTGGAGATTGTCTGAGACATAAAATTCTGAATTGATTATTTACTTTCTGACTTACATTCATAACTGACTTTTCCTGGCAAAACACAACAGCATAACCCTGTATGCTTACAAACAATTTTCATTCCTTTCCTGGAAACTCATTCACAGTTTATAATAATATATTAGTGAAACCTATGCATTTAAAGCCATACCTTAGAGTTATACAGTCTATCAATTAAGGGCAAAAGAAAAGTTTTGATTTACTTTTCTGGATTTTTTACCCTATGGTATTTTCTGCTAATTAAGTTTGTTCTAATACGTACAGTGTGTGTTGATATTTTAGGCATTAGCTTTTTAAACTTTTAGTCTAATTTTTAATTTAAAAATATATAAATGAAAATCATCGCAGTATTGTGATGTTATTCTCTCTTTATCTTTTCTATCTCTTTTTCTCATGTAGATGATCTTTCACTCCATGTTTATCTGACAAAAATACAAGGCAATGTAGCAAGGTGAGTTCAGGTACAAGGAAGGCAGCAAAGTTGAACACAAAGGGGCCAGGAGAGAAGGGAAAAGGTCCTGTGGTGTGAACTAAGGGTGGTGAAGAAACCATCAGGAAGGATACGTTCTGTCTGATCAATGTTATGGTTTGTGCCTGGATGTCCCCACAAAGCCTATGAAGTCAAGAAGAGAGGGCTTTTTGGAGGTGGCTGAATCTAGAGTTTGTGACTGATTCATGCTCTAATGCTGGGATTAAGGTGTGAGTGCTACACTGCCCCAGGACTGGTAGCCTGCACACAATGTGGGGGAAGAAAGAGGCTTTTGCTCCCCCGGCCTTGCTTTTGTGTCCCTCACAGCATGAGCAGTTGCTGCTCTGCCATGACACCCTAGCTTGGAGCCAGCCAATTATGGACTAAAACCTTAACTGTGAGTTAAATAAATCTTTCCTCATTTAACTTGTGGGTGTTGGGTATTTTTGTCTCAGCAATAAGAGAAAAGACACTAAGACAGAGGACAGTGGTGTTTCCAGACCTAAATTGCACGCAGCCCCTTTCCCTTCTCAGTATTTTTCATTACAGCACTATAGTAAGAAGACAGATGTATTCTCAGGTCTCCAGAG